ATAGCAACCTTGGCTAGCAGTAATTTGGTTCGCAGTCTCACTCGTGCACCACGATTCGGTAATAAGAATGAGATGAGGTTGACGAACGACAAACCAATTGAGAAATGGCATTTTATGGACTAGAGAACAAACAGTAACAATCACTATTTTAAGTCTACCCACATCTGACCCACATGTTCACATAATGTATTAATTTCGCGACCTTTTTTTCCTCTCATAACTTGGTCACTATGTTTGGGACTGTCATATAGTAAACTATTAGAGGTGGCAGGAGGTGAGGCGTGTGATTCAGAGAAAATCTCTGTGGCTCGGTTCAGTCGATATGCAAAAATGTGCGCTCCACTGGAGAACTTGAGATCAAATTGACTAGGGCTTGATGGGTCTCAGATGTTCTTCTAGAGTTTTGCCCACAAAGTTGAATCCATGTACAGAAGGCTATGGGAGCGAATTCCACAAACCGAACTATTCACAAGGTAACATGAGGTTTACTATATCCAAAAGTGGCGCACTATTCTTGACCGACGTCACCCCGAGATGGGGGCTTGTTAAAGATTGGCAGAAACTGACAGGTATTGTTGGGTCAGGATTTGAACTTTAGTTTTGACGCTCATTCATGTTGGGCTTACCTTCTGTGATAATTTGTCTAGAGGAACATTGTTGGTTGTACTTAACTGGGCAACACGTGGAGGCTCTGGTGCACTCGACAACTTGGGGTGAAAAGCTTTCATGTTTACTATGTTCATCAGTTCGTACCCTTCCCAAAATTACCATAAGAATATCAATTAAATTTCACCGTTCTGTAACAGTAGTACAGCACACGAGCGTTTTTATATATGGTTAGCGGCATCCGTTTCCGGATTTACCTGTCACTGAGACCACAAACAGTCACAGGGCTCCTGCCTCCACAAATGCACTATCGGTGGCTTGCGCTGCACCCACCTACAGCTCTGTCCAAACACTCCAAATCCAGTGTGGACCCGAAGGAATACGGCTGGGAGGCAGGTGGATTGGAGCTGCGATTGATTCGGAGCCCACCCACATTTCAATGTCTTCATCTGAACACGAAGAAACATGCATACCGACGCACAGATGGAAGTGGCTGGGCCGTAGCCCGTTTCACACTGGATGGAACAACTCCTTGAGCTTAACACCAGCCACGATTTACATTCTCTTGGAACCAGTAATCGAGGTGGTGGTTTTCGACAGGCAGACAACCTGTCAATATTCGCGTCAAGCGCAACCAGACTGGGGATATCAATCAACAAAACCCCCTCAATCCGCGACAAGAAATACTCTCGTGTGAGTGTACAGCCTAAGGTTAGCGACGATGCAGCACATGTGCCACTTCATTGACCTGGGTAAGCAAATGGAAATAACACATTTACATAGCGCCGCAACTAACCCGTTTAACTTTCCCATCACTTTTTCGATATAAGACAAACCAACTGCAGTGATGATGTAGCCCTTGTGCCACCTCTACCGCATTACTGGCCTGGGTTAGCAAATAGAAATAGAAGCGCCGCCACTTACCCATTTGGTGTGTCTTGTGTAAAATCGAAAATAAACCTTATTTTTATTTTTCAACTTACCCGTCACCTCTTCCATACTGGCCCGTCGTTGCCCCCTAATAATCTACCATACCTGGCTCGGCTGAAGCGCACACAGGTGTTTGACGTGCATAGACTACATTGCATCTGTTCCCGTCGCTTGTACAAGCAGTATTTTTATTCCTGATACATCATTCCTTACAGATATATATGGAGAACAGCATTCTTGGTATGATCACATCATTGTGGACCATCCAGTGCCCGTTTATCCCAACACGAAACTCAACATTAGTTCGCGGTAAACGCACTTTGTTCATATCCTGGGATCGCAGCTTCGGTTTGCCTACATTTCACTTACTTTAACTCAGTTGGTCATTTAGTGGGTGCTTTGATATGCCATTCGCCATGTATATATATATATATATATATATATATATATATATATATATATATATATATATATATATATATATATATATATATATAACTGCAGCGGCAAGTGCGGAAGCAGCAAGCACCGATGGGTTGTAGTCCATCGACATCGAGCGCACGGTGCTGTAGCACATGCGGTCGCGAGTGCCTGAGTCAGGCAGGGCTAGAGACCCATGAGCAGGGCCACTAGGGACCACTACCGAAGCGACGACAGGTCCTGCAGAGAACGCAGCCAGAACCGGCGCATCGTTTGTGGGTACGCTGCATTCGATTTACTAACCGCGTGCATGCATGCTAAGTCTATTTATTTCAGGTGGCGGGTTTTCAATTTGGTCTTAATGCTTTTCTTTCTCAAATAAATGTCTACCTGTACTCTCTTCTGTAAACTTGCACAAGTCGCTTAAGTCAGTTGTAGATAATTTCGATAACATTTTCGTGTTTGTGGCATTTCCGTAAAATATACTTTCTGACCTCATGAATTTATCCCGGATTCTTTTGTAAACCAATTATTTCATGCGCTCATTAATTTAAGATTTATGTCACCGTTTCCTTATGCATTACTCGATTTATTTTCTTTGTTAGCTTTATCTCAAGTGATTGGCTGTTGCTTGATATCCCCGGTGTGGCTGCGCTTGATGTGCATGTTGACAAGGTGTCTACCTGTCTATTACCCACTACCTCGTCCATACTGGATCCAGGAGACAGTTGTTCGTTGCTGGAGGGGACGGGTTACACAGTCCTTATGGCCGTGTTAGAATCAAAGAGTGGTTCCATGCACTCAGTGTGGAGCGGACTACGGTCCAGCCACCGCCTTGTGTGCGCTTGATTCTTCCAGATACAGCGTGCTTGTGGTTGCCTGTGAAGGAGTGTGGGCCGGCTCCGTTGATGAAACGTGATTCCCATCCACATGCCTCCCGGTCTTATTCCTTCGGGTTTATACTGTATATGGAGTGTGTGCATGGAGCTGTGGGTGGTGCAGCGCAAGCCACCCATGGTGTCTCTGTAGACACAGACGTCCTGTGGCTGGCCACAGTGACATGCAAATCCGAAACCGGATGCCACCAACCATATATAATTGCACGCTCAAGAGTTTAGCTGACGCTACAATCTCACTTCCCATAGTACAAGTGCAATTTGCACTTCAGGTATGTCGAGTAGATGTACAGTTACAACAATATCACTGAAAGTCGAAGGAAAAAACCATTCGTGTTAGTCAGATCATTAGTCGACAATAATGGAAGTAGTCAGCCGCGGTTACCATTGGTTCAAAGCTTTCGAAGATGGAATCCGTCCTTTTATTTACGATGCCTTTCTCTGTCATCCACTTTGTTGTTACAATCAACTAAAAACTTCGTATCTCACTCAATCACCGCCGAGTGTACGAAACGCCCCAAGAGCATTACGCTCGGTGCCATGTTTCTTAAATACAGTACGCATATCTGGTCATAATACCCAGTTCAAACGACTGAAGATCTGATTGGTGAACTCACTCATCTGTTGTGTTGTGTTTGCTTCACTTATTTCAGGACAGATACTGTGAGCTGATTGGCAATACGTCGCGCAGCAAGCAGAAGTCATGTATTAAATACGCACCTGAACGTCAGCCCTCGGTAGCTCAGAGGTAGAGTAGCGGACCGGTAATTCGTGGAACCGGGGTTCGATTCCCCGTCGAGGCAGATTATTATGTGCAGTTTAATCGTGACTTCTACCTTCTACCAACATTACACTACTCACAAAAATCCACAAATACTATACGAATTACTTGTTGTGACAAACGAGGAAGTGAGTGGACACTGTTCTAACGGCCAAGGACGACAGAACAAGAGATAGCGCACCATATACAGATGCGAATGGTCGAATCGGTCTAACTCAATCTACTGTGTGTTGATTGCACCTGAATTGGTATCAACGTTGTCAATGGGTGATAGTAGCCTAGGCTTTGACTTGACACGTTCCAAAAGCAGGTTGTGTTCTGTTGTCCATTAGTGTGCTGCTTTTAGAGCAGCAACCGCTGGCTTCAAGGTTTGCCAAACCAAAGAAAAGGATGCCGAAGCCTCCGCTCTGTTACTCGGCAGAAATTAGGGCACATAAAAATTACATAAATCGTCAATGTCTGGACGATGCGAGATGTTCCCTTGGAGAGAGAGATCAGAAACTGTCACAACCATTTCATGCCATGGCATAAGTTGGTACTTATATGAGCACAAATTCCATGTTTATGTGAGTAACAAAGTAATCCGAATTAAGTGCTGGTTTGTCATAAACACGACATCTAACAGATTGGACAGGTCGAGTGGAAGTCGGTGCGGAATCGTCCACTGAGAGTAGTGAGAGTGTGAATACCTTATCCGTACTGATATACATAAATCGTCAGTGGTGTTAACGGTTTTCATAGCACGCATAATAACGTCGTCGTAGTGTGGTTACCAGGTATATTCGTCAGTAGCAATTATCGCTCTCACGAAGTGAATTGAATGCGCAATTAGACAACTCGCCAGTCTGGCTGCGTGTTAAGTAGTTCATTTTCTCCAATTCCTCACACATAGGCTGATTAGAGTCAACTGGCAAAGTCTAGCTCATTCTCCTTCAGAAAAGCTTGTTCAGATGTGCGCAAACACGTCGTCAAAGCCGTCAAAAGCGGTGTGCAACGTGGACAATTGGCGGTTCGAAGAGCGATAGGATGAATTGTTACAGGTGTTGTCGAACCTAGCCCAATGATAGTTTGCTGGAAAACGAAGAGGAAGTGAATAAGCCAAAAGACAAACCAGCGCATGCATAGACGAGCGACGCAGAAGTATATGGTGCATGACACTACGTACTACGATCTCGTGCTGAAATGAGATCCAGAGTTCAAAAAGATGTACTGATAAAGTAAGACGAGATGTATATTTATAGCTAGGCATCTCGTAGAGGTTAGGCTAAGCCGCTCTTGTTATCCAAATCAAGTTTACTAAAAGTTTGAGAGTAAATGACAAAGCCACCCAACGTAGTTCATTACTAGAACAAACCAGAGAACAGCAATTAAGTGAAAATAAGTGAATACATGAAAGCAAAGAAGTTCACCTGTCTGAAATTGAGGTCCTCTCGTCTGGCCATCATTTTCTGAACCAACTGACACACTTTGACTTTGATTTGCAACGAATGGACACATTCTAGGTGACGAACATAACTGAAAGGTGAAGAGAACGCAGAGAGAGCGAAATGCCATTGTTTGAGAATGCAATGACACAGAGAAGGCAGGCTAGTCTAGAAAGTGCATTTGAAAGACTCACCGAACTATATTTAAGGTGAGAGTTTCAATGCTGACCTCCTCAAGATAGCTGCTACATTGTCCCACCGTCTTGTGGACGTGCTTCTCTAGAATGCTACGCATGATGAAGATGACATTTTCGATGAACAATGTGTTGGTTTCAGTCACGACAACTTGCTGTTGTCCCTGCCCCGAGAAGCAAGCATCCACGTGGGCCCGCAATTGATTAAACAAAATAGGATAAACGAGGGGATTCAATTCATTTCCGATTGCTTCTTTCACATGTTTCTGTATTTGATGGCCGAATTTTTCATGTTGGCAACTAATGAGAAGAAGTAGGTTGCCAATGTATCTGTTGGACAGAAATGGAAAAAGCGACGGGGGAATCGCTGAAGGTATGTGGGATCCGGAAAAGAAATGAAGACAATAGCAATAAGCATCACGCACAGTGTAGTAGGGACAGATCTTCCCTGGAACTCGCAGCTGTGACAAAGCAGAGTTGAAGGAGAACAAGTGTTGAATGGTACACTCGTTGCATTTCGCAAAGGAGATTCTATTAAAGATGAGCAGATGCGATAGAATGCGGGAGTCGCCTGCAATTTGCCTGAGAACAGTTGGTGTGATTTGCGACCGCGTCATGCTGAATAGCCTTTAACCGCTGATATGTTCGGTTCTGAGGCTCCATTCAGGGAAACAGCATGTGTTGACTCGGTCATTTCTTCCATACCTTTGAACCAAGTTAGCAGCTGATCACTCACAGTGGCTCCGTTCAACTACATGTCTTGGAAGGATTTTGACAATCAGGCGGAAAGGATGGTCTGGTGTTACTACAGGAGGCATGTTGCCCAACCCCGACGGCAGAAGCGAATGTGCATGTCAGAGTGGTGAGAAACAATAACGGGGGAGGGTATTTGGTTGCATACATAGTAGCTGTCGGAAGTAGTAAACATACATCACACTAATGGCCCTTAAAACGATACTAGACTTACTTTTTTCGTCAAGCACGTCCGCGATAACCACAGATGTAGTAAATAGTCCCTTGGATATGGTTACAAAATTGTTACATGCAACCATAGCTAAAACGTCAGATGTGAGATCAGTGATGGTCCAACACTTCCTGAGAAATGTCAACTGGGTAACTTTCTCCGCCCTGCTTAGGGATCAATACTGGAACTCCTCCTTTATTTCGCTTGACATCAAGAGAGCCTTTGATGTCTTCTATGGCCGTGTGATTATGTGCTTAAGCACAGTTGTCACCAGTAATTACGTCATGCGTACCAGAGCGTCTTCAAAGCACATTATCAACACAAAGGATAAGTGAAAAATAAGAATTCCAACCGGAACATATGAACGAAGTCATGACTTCAGAGCCAATGTATACTAGTTGAAGCGGACATAAAAATCCACACGCGTCTCAGACAAGGAACGATGAGCAATAGAAATACAGGTCGAAGGCTGACTGCATTATTGAGAAAACTGACTATTCCATATCGTCAAATGTAAAGCAAAATGCATTGATTCTCCGGATGCTATAGATGAAGCTCTTAGTTCATATTTGGATGAATTCTTTAATCTCGAAAGGGAACCGCTGAAAGTAGCGACTTCAATAAACGTCTCCGAACAAGTCTCAGTGATCGACTTTAGTGTCGTCATTGTAAAAAGCATGGTTAGCTATTTACGATCATCCCATAAACCTGGCCCCGATGGGAGATTATTTTCCTTACTTAAGTACGACGGAGAAGTTATTCCCCTCCTATTATTCAACATCGTATTGTCCCTCCATTCCGGTCAATATCCAAAAGTTGGAGGAAGTCTACGATCATACGGAGTAGGTCAGGATCGAGAACCGACATCCAGGACTATCGCCCAAGCAGCCACACTGTTATTCCCTCCGGTATGTTAGAGAAATATTGAGGAACACCACCTCTCACTTTCACAGCATGACCTTCGAAAGTCTCGTTTGTGTATGTGACCTACTGACGTGTTTAAATACTTTGCTTTGTTTTTGCCCTCGATTCGCTTACCCTACTCACACCTCCAGTTAGCATTCATTGGCCTAGTCATGTGATCATGCATTTGATTGATTGTAATTCGAACGCCTATCGACTTAATTGCAACGCATGCATGTACACACAGTTTTTTCATACATACGTTCCGGTGCCGCTCTGGTCTGCTGCTTTTTCGTGCTACAACAATTTGGCGTCGCGTGTTACCGATATCTTTGCATTCTATTGCTCCTGCACCGTTCTGGACTTACTCTGCGGTTACCCCAAATGCCGAATGCTGGGAAGACTGAAAAACAAGTTTTTCAGATTGTATTTTTGTGCTATCAGTTCTCAATCCACCAGTGACACAGAAAACGGAGGATACTTGAAGGCTTTTGCCCTTATGCCTTGGCTCAGAGGGTCGACGTATATTTGATGCTCTAAATCTGTGGGAGAAACCCACGTCGACAGAGACCTTATCCACCCTCGATAAACATTGGGCTGTTCGAGTGAACACTTATACATCTGCGTACAATTTTTCGCAGCTGAAACAAGCATCTGGTGAATCAGTGGGTGCATTCATTTCCCGTCTTGTTTGTTCTTTATGAAAATGTGACTATAATAGTATTCCTAAGAAAAAAGTGGAAAAACTATGCTACTACAACAATTGACTTCTGGCCTCGCGGATTATCGGATCAGAGTCTTTTAATGGAGAACGCAGCAAAGCTCACATGAGACAGGGCCTGTGAGGTGACTCGCGCGAAGGTCGCAGTCACGAAATAAAATAAAAATTTCCTCGCTAACACAAGATCTGTTAAAACTGACTGTTTCGATTCTACATGCTCCTCAGTTAGAAATAAGTGTTACCGTGGTGGAAATGCTAAACACCGTGCAAATGATAAGTCATGTCCTGCAAAGAGTGCAATTCGCCGGAATTGCGGTAAGACCGGTCATTTTGCCCGGGTTTGTCGTTCTCGCGCCATTTCTTTAGTTGATTCTACAAATGACTCTAGAGCTTCTCTGGTCACCACTGAACAATCCATATATGATGTTAATGAATGCAAACATCCACTTTCGTCTCCAACTCAAGAACCCAAACTGATTTCGCCAGATATTCGTTGTGTTTTTTGAAGCTAGAAACAAAACCATTTATCATGCCACCCGGGAGCTGTCCTGTCTACCTCGATCAGATTTGACCTGGGTGGTTCGTATGGGGGCGAATTCTTTGGAATAGGATTACCTTCAATCCCACGTTCAACTTAGACCTGTGGATCTGTCACAAAAGTGATATTTCACCGCATAAAGAAAGAAGTTACGTGTAGTGATTGGTATCCATTCTGCTGCGACAGAAATCGTTCCGCTCCTGATGTTACGGACAATTTGACTTCGAAGGCAAACGGTAGCTTCTACTACGCCTTCAACTATCCGACCGAACTAGCCTGAATACCCACCAAAACGAGGCAACCTATCTGCGCCTCTTGTTTAGAGTACCGTTTTAGTACGAAACCAACGTTGTGCACTGTTGTCCAGCGTGCATCACTTTCGGCCTAGTCTCTGACATCTCCTTTGCTCACTTACAAAAGTGGCTTGATTACACTTCAGGCTTATACTCGGTGCTCTGAGCGCACGCCTTTTCCTTCCATCAGGGACTGTGCGCGCTCCAGTGGATGTCTTAGACACCCCCCTTGTCCAGTGAGGGCGCGCGGCACCCTGTGCACCGGCTGAGCTCCGTTTAGTAAAGTCTCAATTGCCGTCCATTTGAGTTAGACCCCGCTAGTCTCACCCAAGTCTCACAGTTTTCCTACCAACCGCCGAAAGCGTGAGTATTCTGCGCGTAACCGTATTCAGTCTCTACGCTATACCGATTTCTATTAGCTGGTAGCCTCTGCCCACGAAGTGCTACGTGGATGCAAGTATGATGATTATCGGATGATAGCCTTTGCATTAAGGAGGAAAGCTTCTGCACTAAGAAAGATGGCTTCTGCACTCAGAATGATAGCTTCTGCACTAAGGATGTAAGCGATTGCGTTAAGGATGTTAGTAAGTGAAGAATGGTATAGTTCGTTGAACTTTAGTGAACATACAAATTATTTAGTGACAAAGGCTAAGCAAACCTTGAAATAAACCAGACTAATTGCTTGCAACGTCGGTATTGCGCCTTAGCCTGAATAATGCTGTGTTGCGTATAGCAACCAGTGAAAGTGTGATTCGGAAACCATTAGAAACGTTCAGCGCGCCTTTACAAAGCGTATAGTTGGTTAGTCAACCGCACTTTCAGGTAGAGCAGATGTAACAAGTTGTACCTTGAATCTCTATGGTTACGAAGATCGCATTTAAAGCAGTGTTTCCTCCACAATCTTTTGTGACGAGAGGCATATGTTGGAACTTACTGAGTTTTCGGGAAAGTACTAGTTAAGAGACGTGAGACAGCGAATGTATAACAAATTGCCCAAATTCAGGACTAATCTAAGGAAAAATTGCTATTGTCTTAGATACTACCCCATATGGAACAAGCTGCCTAAAAGGAGAAGTGTTGAATATTTTTGCGTGTACAAGAAAATGATGAAGATTTATCTATCAGTTGACAGTGAAACACATTCTGAAAAGTGAAACTGATGATGAGGAACTGTATGAAGAAGGACCGGATCATATATGTTATCGAAGAATATCGCTTGAGAAGATGTTACAGTGGGCGAAAATGCCACAAGCCGAAGATATGTTGCGAATCGATTTGGGAGCTGGTAATTGAGCAATTTGTCCACATTGATCAGTCCAACTATTCTTCACTTGGCACATTTTATCCCTTCCGCTTTCTTATTATGGGCTGCTACAGTTCTGCTGGCTGACCGCACACGCCAAATTTCCGGCAAACTATATGTTAGGCGTGGCCCTTAGCAGGTAAACGGAACAGAACGCGCACGCGTAGTATGGAACCGATTTACTAAAAGAATCCTGCGTTACAGTGGCCATAAAAGTCGGAAAGGAAAACCTATGAAATAAGGAAAGTAATGCAAGGTCATTTTCAACCAATCAAGTGAGGACCGGTGTTTACGAATCGATGCTCAAGTGCATACGTGACACTATCCAATGCAGATTTAGTCTAGACCTGAAAGCTAGACAACAAAACAAATCGTCAGCTCTACGCCATAACGGTGCTTCGCTGCCACGCAACCGCCATCAGACACGCGTGGGCTGAGTGTACCGCGAGGACGCCCACCCCTACGCGGCGGATGCGAGCCGGTGACCTTATGATTGTAAGCCAAGCGCGCAGACCACTCGGCCACATGCCGACGCTTGAGAGCTAGGACTCAGGACCAATGTGCCATGTATATTTTTCACTTAGTATACCTACTCCTTAACACTGTCTCCTTTTTGCAACATGATCTAACATTCCCTGGTGAAAGTACACGCCACGTTCCTGGCTAACGCATAACTAGTAGGAAGTTGGTATCGCATTCCCTCACATTTCTTAACAGCTCGCACTTAACTTGCTCTGTTTTTCTCCATCTTTGAGTGGTCCCCACTTAACTACGTTTCCCCCTATTACTCTACCTAGGATCTCCATTTTTGCTCAGTTCAAGCCAGATCCCTCGCATGTTCACAGATAATGAATGTATCGATGGTTGTAAACCGACCTGCTGGTTCCAAAACCTGTATCTTGTAAGTAATCGAGATTTCGTAAACTCTATCACATGCGTCTGACCAGCGCTGTGCAAGTTGACACAAATGTGATATATTTAATTGTAATATATAATTATTGAAAACACTCACATCATCAATTTTCTTTTATATTATCCTGTAATCAGTTTTAGGGTATATTGTTAACATACCCGTGTCACTTTCACTTGTTTGCTGCTTTCGCTGAGGACACTTTTTCCGGGAATAACGTGTCAGTATGAGCTGAAATAAGAAGATTCGCCGCTGTTTCGGTTGAGAAAGGAGACTTGCAGCAGCAATCGATGTTCCCCACTACTGGACCATATGAGCAGATTTGCAGTTATCTGAAGTGATGTGCTCTTGCTAAACTGCGATGGACAAGCACCACACATTTCTGCTCTCTCGAACACCTGTCCTGTTTACTATGAAACTGCTTCGGCTCAAGCATTTACACAGTGAGCAGTCCTCAAGAGGGCTGTATCTAGAGGTATCGAGAAATATACAAAATTATCATCATTATAACGGTACTAGAATACAGATCTAAACGTGAAAACGGAACACTGTAAGAAATTGATGCGGATTATATAAAGGCTCATAAGATGAGCACCGAAAATAACAAACGCACTGAGCGACCGGAGAGAAACGACTATCCTGACCGAGTCCGGTAGCATGACCAGAGGAGCTGTGCCGTCCACTGACATCGGCACTACAGTCCGAGTGTAGGGAACAAGAGCTTATTGGACCAGATGACACTTTTGGGACTGCGTTTCTAACGGATGGCTCGATGGTGAGACCAGTAACAGTGGAAGCGGTAGAATGAGCTTGGTTGCTTGAGCCACGTTCAAAGGGACCGCGAGTTGCATAAGGCGGTGGTCCGTCATCGGCATGCAGATGGTGGTGAGGATGGTGCATACAAACGCGCCAGTGTGAACATTGAGGACACCGAGATGCCAGAGATAGCTGCTCATAGTCCGAAGCACGATCGAGTGAGTCCGAACACGAGACGGCCTATCAGGAAGTAGTGGACGGAGAGCAGTACTTAGCGTGAATCGGACAGATTGAGTGAGATTGCAAGAGCGTTGAAATAGGGGGAAGGCGAATTCTAACAGTGTAAGGGGATCTCGTTGACACTTGAGCGTGCGTACCACTACCAATGAAAAGGTATAGCAGTGTGGTGGCAACTAATCACTGTGAGTGTCCAAAGTTCCAAACTAAAGCAAACTTAGTGGAGGCTGGTAGCGCCACTGCGGCATTCACGTGTGTCAGTCGGCCGAAGAACGCAAGAACATGGAAGGCAGTTCCATGATTAAACAATTCACGTGCAGTAGAGCCAGTATGGGATATTCAGACAGGTTCTCTATTCCACGGATGTCGGAATGGAATCCAAGCTACGGAACAACGTGTGCAACAAATCGGCTGGACAAATACAGCAACAATGGGAATACCGAGAGATAATCTTCTAAGATTAGCTGTGAAAAGAGCACATGATTCGATCATTTGAGTTGTGGGTGGAAATAGATGTGGCTCCTTGACGAATAACTGTCAAATGATCGAGAGTAGCTCAGGAGTCGAGTACGACGTGGTGCAAGGGAAAGGCTGTGGAAAGCAAAGGACCACACGACGAAGCCGATCAGTTCGACTATGGTAATACTACTAACAAGCGCAACTTGATGAACATGGAATCCCCCAAATATTTTACAGTAGAATAAGAAGCTTACCTGTTGTGAGTGTGTCGCATGGTTTGAGTTACCGCATGAATGGGGGTCCTGAGTAATGTTTGTTTCCGTGTTCGTATTTAGAGATAAATCGAAAGCGCTAGGATGGAGGTGACGATGAGCGGAGCTTGTATGCGACGTGGACGATGCAATCGACTGACTGTCCCGGCGAGTGCACTCATCGGGCAGACACGGACTTGATCGGGAATACGATTTTGTAGAAGAATCGTTCAGTGAAGAATGACGAGATACGGTGACCGGCCGTTGGTTCAGTGTCATGACGTTCCAGGCAGGTGGATGCGCATCCATCTGATAGGAGCCGGGGAAACCACGTTTACCGAAAAAGCGGCGGCCGCAATGACAGGGATTCTAAAGAGATAGATGGAGCAGCTGGTGTAGAAAACTTTTGTGATATGCAAACATGCGATCCAAATGTGCCAAAAGACCAGATTTCAAAGATTTAAGACCGTAGACGATATAAGCGGAGGTGGACAGCTAAAAGTCCGAACTAACGAAACACGCCACTTACATTCGAGGGTACTGGCTGCGACGCAGGCGGATTCAAGGCGACCGATCCAAGAGCGCAGAGAAAGCCAGTCATGTTGGCCCATTCGTTAAGGACATCTTCAAGTTCGTGATCAGTGGCAAGAGAGTGTTGGCTTGTTCGGCGCTTTATACTTAGATACCGAGCAGAGACGAGAGAATTGACGCCAGTGAAGCCAGTGGTGGCACAAGCACTGTTAACGGAAGAGGATTCCACCCCAGATCCAGTCAACAGTGATGTCATAGTTGTACCAAGACTAGCGGAGCTGCTACCAGGGATGATGGTATTTCCGGAACAAACGGCGTCACCAGACCCAACCGTCGAGCCAAATTCACCGGTAGCAGAAATGGAATCCTTGATCCCACTGCCATGACCTACACTGGCACTTAGAGTAGACATATTAGCGCAGCTTGGTGAGTGACTAGCGGAGCCCTCGCAACACGATTCTTCAGCGCTTCCGGAGGCAGAAGCTGTTTTGGATTTGGGGTAATTGATCAGGAACTTTGTGCTTCGCAACCATATCATGTAGGTGTGCTCCCAAGCCTGAAACAACAAAGTGTAAGGGGACTGCTGAAAAAAAATAGACCGAAACGTTTCGTAGCGTCAAAGAAAAGACGGAAGAAAAAAGGATGGAAGCAAACCAATTAATGTGAGAAATCCGCAAGAAATATGGCATAAGCAATTTGTTAAAGCACTTCTTAATGCCGATGTAATCTGGCACTGGACAGTATACTCCCTACTTGAGCCCGTGTCAATTCCCGTGAGACCAAAAGAATATCTTCCTCGAAAGTTAGCTGAAACGGATGTCAGTTTAAGAAAAAGGGCCCAGATCTGCCAATGTCTGGAGAAGCATCGCAAATGGAATGCGATGAAAGGTATAAATGTGACGTTTATTCGATCCCCTTTTCCGAAAAATCCCCTTGGCCGAAAAAGCTAGGTGACAGGGAAAGAAAAGGTAGGAGAACTCAAACGCCTGGAACGAACTAGTCGCATATACCTCCAAATTTGATTGCGGACCAAGCTGCGACGGACTGAGCGTTGGTGTGTTACAAAAATAAGAAAATACAGGCGATTACACACTCAAGTGCGAAGTCGAAAGAGAGCCCAGTACATTAGAACAGAAAAGTTGGATTATGCCAACAAAAAAGTGTAGTTTACCATGGCTCACTTTTGTAGAAAGTGAGACAGATCAAAGTAAAACCCAGCTCCTAGGTATGTCAGTGAGCACCTGTCCCATTCACATCACCCAAGTGTCTCATCTTCTCATAGAGTCGGAAAAGTGGAGTCACATCCCGAATCAGGACAATGGAAGCTCAATTTTACTAGCCAGTTATAATACCACGCTAACACAATTGCAACAGGAATCGTGCCAAATAGGAAGAAACGGGATTTTCATCCACTTTTATCAGGTAGCATATTTACCCCTAATTATTCTAGAGCGAGCTTCTGCCCTGGTAGCACATTTCCTGTTTGTTTCCACGTTTGTCTCCTACTCGTTTTGAGAAGTGGATAGGCCACTGAAAGAGATAAAACGGGGAATGTGCTACTAAGGAAGAGGCAGTATGAGAACGTTTCCGATCCTAATAAGATAAAAATAATAAAACGCATTAGAGACGTGACAACCAAAAGGGAAATGCCAAGGTGGTGGAGCCAATTGATTTCCGCTTCGATGAAAGAGAATGGCCAGTAAGCAATTCGTGGCTAATAAAAAGTCAAAAAATAGTCGCTCCCCTCAGTGTAGTGGTGAGCATAAAAACACACAAGCTTCCTATTTCAAGCTTACTAGTTTGTTACCCTGAGTTTGGTAGTTCACTTTGCGAAGCAAGTTGAGGAGCTGCTTCTGCAGATGTGCCCTTCCAGTGGTGATGATAGATCGACTATGATCAGCAATTTCGGCGTACACGCTATACAGTGGTAAAATGTCAGGAAGTTGACAATCCGAGAACGCACACGATGTTGCCCAGGACCATGGAGAAGAGTTGGAGAGGCTGCAGAAGCCACGAACATGGGCGGGTGAAATACATGAGTGAGGTTTTCGTTCCCATTCCGTTGAACACGAAGCAGGGTGCTGTGCAGAAGTGTGCTTACTGTTAGTCATATCGCGTTGGCTGGCGGAGGCGAATGTGGGAATAACCGTGGTTGCACAATGAAGCAGGTAGGAAGTAGGTGTGCACAACGGACAGCCGCAGTTGCACAAAGCGATACACAGCCCAGAGCCAGCAGTTCGGTTACGAGAATCGGATGTGCCAGAGAAACTTTTCAGAGTAGGATTTAAGGAGGAGTGTGGTTGTGATGAACAAAGCATATCGGCTGCCAATGCGGAAGAACCCGCATGAATGTACGGACCGAAATGCTTTGGCTCCGAAGCAGCCCCATCCGCAGGAGTCGCACCGGATGACATGGAAGAGTGGAGTATATCGGGTTCACGGTCGGATGCATCTGACTTTGAGCTATAAGTATCTGGGTAAACGGAAGAGCAACGGTAAGGACACAACACAGCATTCCTTTCTGCGTCGGATACGGTAGCAACCATGGCAGCAGCAGCGGCATTACTCCATAATTCAGCCTCTTGGCATAAAAGTCGAAAGCAAGACATAGAAGTGAGCACAGCCTCAAGATCCAAAGACCAGAGATAGGTAAAGAAAACGGTTTCAAGCTTGATGAGAGCCATTCTGTTGCGTTTTGAGTTGACGCCAAGTGGTCCGAGGAGGGGATTCGGTCCACTAAAAGTCGACTGTTGCGAAGCTGAAGCATGGTCGGACATGGAGTACTCTGTGTAGACACCACAGCTAGGCGGGACCTTGCACCATTGGGAGTCTAGAGTGGAATAAGCAATAAGAGTGGAACACACAGCATAGGATCAAAATAAGTAAGGACAAAAAGCGAAGGCTACCGAAGCGGCCAAAGCAATAACAAAAATGACGACATGATAAGCACGCTAATAGGAAATAAGATAATGTGTCGGATTTGCGTCCGTCAAACAATTTTTCCCACAATGTCTGGATGAAATGGACATTTCAGACTACAGTGCATACCAATTGATGTACAGAGTACTAGGTTGCTCCCAGTTAGCGATAGCGCTAACTCGCCATAGGATATTAGAAGCCGATTCGGGCACCGATTACTAAGTAAGGTGATTTTAGGAAAAATTCTTCGTAGCCGGACTTGAGAAATAATTCCGGAAGAAGACATCTGGAGCAAGCTTGTTCGTCAGCAGACCATTACAATCACAACTGAGGAGCTAGAGCGGACGTAGGAAAGTTGAACGCAGTGAGTAACTAGATCGAAACATTTAATCGGTAGGGATGAACTGGTCTGTACAGCGTTAAAGCAGAGAGAGTAGCGCGGTCGCCATCGTAGGCTATAGTGGCCAAGGTAGGTCAAGATCCTGAATAAATCACTCCTGTGCAAATAGGTCTGAGCTATTGAGTGAAAAGCGATCGCGTCTGCTGCCGATACAAGTGACATTTGACCGTTCGTCTGTAGCGTCCAAGCGCACAGCAATTTGCTGGTTGGAGTACACCAAATGTGTTAACAATGCTCGTGCCGCAGTTATCCTCACATGACTTTAGAGAAGCTGGGCAACGATCTCCAGTTCTCACGGACAGTCGACTGGTCGTTTCCTAAACACATTTTCTGGATATGAGCGAGAGAAATTTTACACACAAAATGGAAACTGTGTCGCGGCATGTTGTTCTTGGGTTCCTGTCGCATAACTTAAGTCAAAGTGAAACCGGGGTGTAAATCGGCAGAAAAGTACGTTCTCGCAGTGTAATAGGAAACCTTCGGCATGAGCAGCTCCACATGCCTTTGGATAAATTTTTATGAGTATTCGTTACGGTTTGACATGCTTTGAACAAAACTCATCTCATTTGAAAGTGTAGCTTCCTCGATTTTTCCTTTAGAGGTAGCCAGAATTAATTCACTTAGGGCGGAGGTTAACAATTGTGACAGATGATCACTGGCACTTACATGAGGCTTTTTGTTCTCACAATGAAAAAGACGTCGCATATACGGTAGAGGTCAGATCAGGCTAGCAGTGCCAAGTATGTGGGCATGGAATTGTATCAGTATCAGCGTGCATACAATCTACACCTAAGGTAGTTCACTAACTAACATAGGATGTATCAGTAGGAAGCACAGTGTGACTTTGGTAAGGAGACCAGGTGGAGGTGAGATTGAGAAGGCAACGGAGCGGCAAATGCTACAGAAATAGGAATGTTGGTGTTTACAACTGCGTAGCCAGAAAGCAAGTCCATTCACTAGACTAACGCACGGTCTGGGAGCTGGGAAGAATAAGTTGCACTTTTAAACCGGGGGTACAGGACAGCAATGTAAACAAAGTGATGCAATGGACCTAGGAAAAGGTGAAAGGACTCGCAAGGATGGGACGTCAGCGTATCGTTTAAGCAGTAACCGATACGAACACATCAGGAATGTAATAGTAAAACTAAGTGACAGAAGACCTGAAAAGCTATACGCTAACTGTCAGCTAAAAATGACAGAAAATAAGTCAACCATCCGACTGCAGGTGCAACTTGCGAGCAGAAATCTAAGAATACGCATGCTACTCAGCAATTGTCAGTAGGATAGTTAACTTCGCGAGTTAAGAACTTATGGTGGGTATTGCCGCCAAGTGTCATCGGCACAAAAGATTAAAGAACCAGTCACAGAACCCGCAATGAGACAATGGACACATCCGCTTACTAGAACTAGAAGTGGTAACAGCTCTTGGGATTTGGCAATTCACTTTGGTGGTAGCGCACTCGAGTGAATTCATGTTGGAGTCGATGATTACGTTGTCCTCCGCCCCCCTTCCATTCGTCATTCCAGAAAGATTGATGTAGTCGCAGTTTTGTTGTAAAAAATTGATACGACACAGAAGAATCTCGCGCAGCCACTTCAGCACGTCACATGAGTTGGGTATGTTTCGATTGACAAGCTTTTGGGCAATACTGTACAGCAGCTGAGGGCTATATAGGAGGCAGGGAAGATAACATGAGAAACCATTTACGTTCTGTCTTCCTGGGCTAATGCACATATAGAAAAAAGGACACAAACCAAAAGGTAGGAACCATGACTACCCTGTCTCACCAACTGACCGGTTTAGGAAAGCTCTCGTCGTGACCAAACGATGCACGCACTGCTGATTCGCGACGTAAATAGATTGTTAGCCTCATAAATCGCAAAATTGGCGAGTGCCAGAGTGACTTGAACTGATGCCAGTTTGCGATCTCGTAGCTCAGTGTGATAGTTTGGAGAGGCGAAATACGACCTGAATTTGTTCCCTATAGGGAATGGCCGGATTGACACAGCACATCGACCTGCAATCGTTTACGGTTGTTATAACTGCCTCTTGGTTACACCACGCTCTGACGATCTGCTATCAGCTCTCCTAGTCGGCCGAACGAATGTGGCTTGGAACTGTTCCACGCACGACAAAGTAACCAACAAAATTCGAAGTTATACGATCCGTGAAACTTAGGCACAATAAAGTTACTACGCGCGAATTGAACGGGCTCCTAGACCGAACGCAATATAACACGCAGCTACCCCAAAGACAAAAAGACAGGCCTTTCGCGTAGGTAGGCACTTTTACCGGCCAGGCTGAAGTCGATTACAGTGCAATCCATTTTGTACATCGCTGGTGCCAATGGGCTGCGTAAGCAAACCCTAGAAGCAACTGAATTGGCACTATGCAAATATGTCAACGAAACACGTTGAAAAGTGAATGTTGGTAGATGCGGTGGCTGGGCTGGAAAATTGAATGTTTCCTAGGTAAAAAAGGCTGAATGTTTTACGATTGAAGGGAGGTTGACCGGAAACAGGAATGTTTTCTGAGGCATAAAGGCCAATCGAAAGGTGAATGTATCACGAGTTGGAAGGCTGATCGAAACATGTGCACTTGTCTGAATCAAGTCTTATTGCCTTCAGTGGTTTAAGCTCATGATCATTATTGGGAGGTCGGGTCCCCATAACAACGGTAAACCAGTAGATGTCAACTGATGTAGTGGAACCTATAGGAGAAACAAGTTGGAGAATAGCAATGGGGATGGCGCAGCTTCCAATCGGGGTGTCTGGGAGCCGAGATGTGTGCTAACCTGACTGCACAGCCTAATAGCGTATGTGCCACGTTAAGTCTCGAATATTGTGGACCAACGACATCACTCAACCCACCGCCAGCCTCGATGTCTGGGACAGTTACAGCGATGTACTGCATTGGCACATAGCAAAAAGTGCCGTTAAATATAGGGTAAGCGGTGTGAAAACAGCCGGATAGTAAAAACTGTCCATGCTTGTGACCGAATCGGGACCCGAAATGATGCCATAGGACGACAAGCTGGAAGAGCAGCTCGGCATAAGCTGATGCGTGGACGTGTCTTCCTTGGTAGACAGCATGGACAAGCATCGTTTGATAGTGTCATGCAAAAAATAGGAAACACCGGTAAACGAACCCTATGGAATGCATAATTATAGGAACAGTATCCAATCCAGAAGCCGATTCATCGGTTAAAACAAGTTTAAAACGATAAGGAAGGTATGCGGTAGCAAATTTGGATAAACGGTGTTTACGGTCCAGCTAATAGTTCGGCAGCAGTGTTCCAGGACGTGATGGACTTTCGCCTGGCAAGCGTTCTCCCCATAAAAAGCCACAAAAATCTGATTAACAACACTGTGACGTGGCGGATATGACTGGCCACTAAATAAAGTCCCTGCCTTGCCATACCGGAGGAACTTACACGTTTCGTGAACGCCAACCACTTGAAAGATTTCATGTGATCCTTTCTTATATTGGCGCATTCATCGAACATACTCACAAATTCACAGTAATAATAAAAAATTCACACAACACGATGACTTACACATTCACACACACACTACACTACATACACACATATATCCAGTATGTACGGGTTAAATCGTAACATTTCTGTACCATTATTGATGTCACGCGTTGGTATTACCATGATCGTGCTTTTGAAGGTGTATCTCGCACCGTCGAGAATAAGTCCTTTATTTAGTTATTATTTATTTAATTATAGACTCGGATTGTGCATAGTTTGTAAGAATTAATGATGCGAAAATTCTAATCCACAAATACCGTGAGAAAGGATATGAGCAGAGAAAGGTGTGCCAGAATACCTGATTTCCCAAAACGCTTGGGCAGGGGAGTGAAGATTCCATAGTCTAATATTGGCTGGTTGGTGTAGACATAGCAGTGCATCCATCGCTTCCTGGGCCAAGTCGGACATGGTAGACTGTTGGATGAGGGACATCAAGCCGTTCATCAATTCAAATGTGGCCTTTTGGGCATCAGAGCTCGGTCGCGTTTGTGGGCACTGGTCAAATGAGGAGGCGTAACGAAAGAAGTGAAGAAATGGGATGTAAGTTAGATGAATAACCACCGAGAGAAAAAAAAGCGGAAAACGGAAATGATCGGAAACGACCCGCTTGTTCAGCCAATATATGCGAACCATTTGCGTCGACAGCATCTCAAATGCGTATGAACGAGTGTTCAGTCAGGGCATTAGCCAATGCTTTCGAACCTGTAGAAAGTCAGTGCTCCAGCAATTGGCAAAACCTTCATTTGGTCATATATGATCTCAGTCAATAGTACCCGTAGTGCAATTAAATTCCTCAGAAACGAGATCATGTTCACTTAAAAGTCAAAACTCAATCAAATCGCATGCAGCGCGCTTGCGTACGCATACTCCAGATAGATACACTTCGAGTGATTTACGGAGGAACTTGTACTAAGGATGTAATTGCCTGAGAACGGGTGTAACGGTATTTGGTAGGGCGGTTCGCTAAATCGATGAGGCCGAACGAAGAATTTGCAGTGACGTGAACACTTGCTAGGGATGCCAGCCCACTGCCCACCGAGGAGGACCTTATGGTTGTAGTCGGATCTAGGATGGTGTACTGTCACACGGAAAATCGTTGAGTTGGCAACGGGAAATGAACTCGCTTGCGACCGAAATGGCTGTGTTCGGTCCGTCCTATTTTCAATGCAGCGGTCCACACGACACATAAGGTGTACACTATGGATCTTGAAGAACGCGATATGCGACCGGCAAAGTGGCACTCTTGTGTCCATCAAGTAGTCAAACTACTGCCCAAAACTTGGAGTAAAATGAGCTATCCATAGAGTGAAGCCACAGGTGATGCGGGAAAGAAAGTTGTCTCTTCGCTGTCGCCTTGTCTTCCCACAATCCGTCGCAACGAGACTGGACCTTAACGAGGTGCGACGGTTTGCGTACCTCCTTGACCCATTGAGCTATACTGGGTGATGCCTCCGGGAATCTTGAGTGCTATTCCTACCAGGTTGCTCAATGGTGAGAGGTCCGACAAACTCAGTCTCCTGGTCCTCCAGGTTGGTGGTTTGAAATGGTATGGCGTCCATTTCTGTAAAATCGAACCGTCGCTACATTCGCTGTCTTGCGGACAGGCTTTTGAGCCAAAGGCCTTGGATGAGGACCCTAATCGTCCTCCCGTTTAGGTCTGGACGTCCTGGTAGTATCCCAGCCCACATACAACGATGACTTTCTCTTCAAACATCCTGCATCGGCCGTCGCGCAGATTTTCTAGGGTCGTCTGATCTGATGAATACAGTAGGGCGGATAAGCGAAACCATGCTACTGCTGGCGCCTCTGTTCTTTCTTCTCCACCAGTTTCTCTTACTCCCATCCCGACCCCAATTACTAACCTTCCTTCTATAATTCCCAGCTTAATTGACAGCAACCGAAGTGCCACTGGAGTAGAACCATCTGCAGCCACCTTCTTGCGACACGCACCGGACGCCTATCAGCAAGTCCCTTATCAGGCTATGTTGTCCCGTTTACTTGGCGACGTTCAACGTTCGAACTCTAATAGGAATAGGTCAACAGGCTGCACTCGCGCGCATCTTGGACACACTGGTTATTGATGTGTGTTGTGTGTCCGAAACTAGGATCAATGGCCCTAATTGGGTTATTGAATTAACTGCACCCGGCTTATCCTCTCGTTATTGGTTGCACGCATCCGGAGACGCCGATGCAGCACTCACGGGTCAAGCTGGTGTAGGTATCATTCTAATATCCAAGGCTGAGCCATCGTTGGTTGATTGGATTCCGGTGAACAGCCGTTTATGTGCAGCCCGTTTGACGACATCAGCTAAGGTTGATTTACGAAGTAATACCAAACGCTGTTTGTTTCTGATTCCCGTTTATGCCCCCACTGACTGCAGTTCTAATACTGTCCAGGACACATTCTATGACGAACTGAACGCGCTACTACGCAGTGCTACTAGTCCAGATATTACAGCACTTGCTGGGGACATGAACGTCCAAGTAGGACGTCTGAGCTCTTCAGAAGCTCAGCTGGGTGGTAAATATGGGCCTAACTCCGAACGGACTGACAACGGCGTGCGTCTGCTGCAACTGCGTGCGGAGCACCAGTTGTTTCTTAGTAGCACTGCTTTTAGACACAGTGGGCGCCGAAGTGCCACCTGGCGTCCTCCTGTAGCTGGCCAGCGATGGACCCAAATTGACCACATAGCGATAAGTTACAAATGGCGTGGTTCCATCATGGATGGCTGTTCGCACTGGAATACCTGCGTCGACTCTGATCATGCCTTGATACGCTGTCGTTTCTCCATGAACTTTACCGGGAGACGTACCAAGCGTCTCCTCTAATTGGCAACTGAGAAATTGTCTCAGCCCTCGGTCAGGCAAGCCTATCAAGACGCACTGCATACCGAACCTTCCTTGTCTTGTTCTAATGACACTGAGCTTCAGTGGAATAGGATCTCGGCCACCATGCACGACGCAGGAGCATCTGCTTCTGGCACTATCAGTCGTCATCGCACCAGTCACTGGATATCCGAGAGGTCAGTGAACAAGTTGGAATCTAGAAGACACCTCCCGGCTGCCTCTGAGCACAACGTGACCAGACGGGCTATTAGGCGCGAACTAAAGCGGAGCCCACGTGCTGACAAGGAAGCTTGGTGAACCAGCCGCACTCAAGAAATGGAGGAGACAGGAGCAGTAGGCAATAACCGCAAGCTCTTCCAGCTGATCCGCACTACTAGTCCCAGCAAACCAGGCCTCAGTGAGACAATCAGAGATAACGCGGGTGTACTGATACACAATAAAGAACGCCGTACGGCTCGTTCGGCGGAACACTTTCAAGATCAGTTCAGCTTGCCCCCTGTTCCCGGACCTCTTCCTACTTAGGTGATGCAGGACGAGCCATGGACGGTTAGTTTAGAGTCTCCGTCGGAGGCCGAGGTCCGAAACGCGATCACAGCCCTCAATCGTTTTCGTGCCGCTGCCCCGGATTCCCTCCCACCTGCACTATTTAAGGATGGAGGTGAGGTCCTGTGCAACGCGCTGACCTCCTTATTCGAACGTATCTGGAAGGAAGAGAGTGTCCCGGCTAATTGGAGCGAATCGATTATAGTGGCAATATACAAGAAGGGCAGTCGCACAGACTGTTCTAATCACAGGGGTATTAGCCTAACGCCAGTTGTGACAAAACTACTGGCCTCTGTTTTCGTTCGTCGCCTCACAGTGGAACGGGAATCTCGGATTAGGGAAGAGCAGGCAGGTTTCCGCCCAGCACGTGGCTGTATAGACCATATATTCACTTTGCGGCAGGTGCTTGAGCAGCGCCACGCATACTGTAGACCGACAATAGCTGTGTTCCTCGATTTCATGAATGCGTTCGATTCAGTCGATCGATGCATTCTGTTCGAAATACTTGGGCGGAAAGGTGATTCCACGAAATATGTGAACATCCTACGTGCTCTATATTCGAACACTACAGGTCGCGTCAGGGTCTACAGTGGCCTATCGGACAGCTTCCCGACCACAAGTGGCGTTCGTCAGGATTGTCCGATTTCCCCGTTTTCGTTCAAATTAATCGTGGATTCTATCATGGAGTGTTCCCTTGCGGAATCTCACGATGTAGGCGTTGAGATCCTGCCTGGTGAAAGATTAGTTGATCTTGGTTAGTCGGACGACATCGTCTTGCTTTTCGACGATGTTGCGGTGGCACAATCAACCCTGAATAGCCCGTCTAGAGTGGTCTCGTTAGTTGGTATGTACTTCGCACCTTCAAAGTGCAAACTGTTGCTGCAGGACCACCAGCCGCATTATGATCACTTGACCCTTGCTAACGAGGAACTCGGGGTGGTTGATCAATTCACTTACCTTGGCAGCCGCATAAGCAACAATGGGCTCATTGCGACTGACGTCAGCATACGCATTGCAAATGCCAGAGCTGCCTTCTTGAACCTGCGGCATTTCTGGCGACAGAAAAGAGTTTCCCTTCGTCTGAAAGGCCGTGTATACAACACCACAGTTAGGACTGGCCTGCTCTATGGAAGTGAGACTTGGCACCTTCGGTCCGAAGATCTGAGACGCCTTCAAGTCCTGGATCATCGTTGTCTGCGAGGCATTGCTGGTGTCGGGTGGCACCAGCGTGTCCGCAACGATGATGTGCGTAGGCGGGTACCAGGTGGTGATAATCATGCTAGCACCCTAAAACAACAGACAACACGGAATAAGTTGCGTTGGCTCGGGCACGTGTTACGAATGCCTGGTCACCGCTTACCTAGATGGGCCTTGTTTAGTCTGCCAGGTGTCGAGTGGTGCAAGACTCGAGGTGGACAGAAGTTGACTTAGCAGCGGGAAATGAAGTCACTGACGACCAAACTCGGTGCCGTTGGTTCGTCTCACCTTCCGGGTTGGAGTCCACGTGACTCGCCTTGTGCTGGGCTCGAGACTTTACAGGACATGGCTCGCAACCGACACCAGTGGCGCGTCTGCTGCCGTCCCCTAATCGGATTGCCTGTTTAAAGTGTGTTTGGTGCTGAGTTATCTGCGGGGTAATGGCTGATTATGACGCGTGGCAGTGAAAGCCGCAAGAAAGCTGTCTCGCCGATGCCGCCTTATCTTTGCACGATAGCCAGCTGTTTGTGACGGTATGTTGTTAACACAAGGTGTAGGTGCCTTGACCCTGATTGTTTGCTTAGGGCATGAAGGTTTTCAGATAAGTCCCCCTTCTCTCCCTTTTATTATCCTTTATTTCATAGGTAGTTATGGTTGTATAGCAGCGAAGCATCAGTTCAAACGGTTGATGTACAATTGTTGTTGTCGTCGTCTTCCCACAATAGACAACTGTTTGTAACCGCATTGTGGTGTCGATAAACGGTCTGCGCCTGAACCCTCGGGGGTTAAGGCAATTTATTTTTGTAACAAATAACACACCTTTCAAATCATTGTTTTTCATTAGAAGGACCGTTGCAGCCTACATAGAAAACTCTCAGCATAACTGCAACTACTGTTACCTGATAAGCCATGGATATGATAATAGTAATGGGGATTGGACGGATTGCAAAAGACACAGAGGTAAACGTAGAGCTAGCAGCGAAGGTTTGTTCATGTTTATCCATTCTTGTGCATGCAACGGATAGGGTGATTATAAAAGCTGCATGATAAGTGATGCAGAAGAAAGCTTAGGGTCTTCACGAAGTGTCTTTCAGCGAAAAGCCTAGATCACAGAGCAGCAGTGTGGACGACAGGCCATTTTCGCCGAACTAATGAGGGCCAACGAATCTCTAAATCACAAGACGGAGGACCAGAACAGTGAGCTGAGCCTGATGCTGCGTAATTGGTGAATCGAAAAGTACCATCACTAGTTGGCATCCATTAGTGTGTTCACTACAGTTAAATGGCAGTGAAACATTTGCAAACAGCACTGAGGTACTGCTGATGGTGTTGGTGATGAGGATTTCCAAACCCAAACTGGTGGACAGGTGCGTGCGCAACGAACGATCGGACTGAGTATGAACCATATTTCGGGGCCATCAGGTATCGAGCAGAGCACATTGAGGCTAAGAGTAAGGTTGCGTACATGTAGTTACATTGTGAAAGTGAATGAACAAATGATAGTGATGCGGAGCTGACGAGAATATGCGGTATTTGGTTGGCTCTCATCTCAAGATGAAAAGGAAGAATGCTCGAGAATCGGATAAGTAGTAATGGTAAGTAGAAATGGTCGACAAGATTTTAGTGAAGCAATAAAAAATTTCATCGTGGCGGACACATGCGAAGCAGTGTCAAGGGGAGAAACCACAATGACGAATTACAGTTCACCTAGTCAATAAGCAGAAGATTTCGGTGTAGCTGATAACGATCGATGAGAACAGGGCGTACTGTGGATGTGGCTTGATTAGAAAGCAACATATGAAACTCGAGGCGGTGGTCATTCGACCATGTGTAAGGTCTAGACGAAACGTCATGAGCGTACACGAGCGGAGACCATTGAGACTTACGTAGAGCACTAATAAAGGGTTGGCATTGATCAAGCGGACCATATTTAGCAACAGATTGTATTTGCTCATCAGACTGTCTTCTGCTTTATCTTTGTTCTTCAAACTCATTCTGTCCCGAAAATTGAGACTCTGGAAGGAAGGAACATGTAGTAAACAAGGCGCATAAGGGATTCGGACACAGGCGGAATGTACCTGCCTGATTCGAAAAGAAGCAATACGAGTAACTACCGTGCAAAGTCAAACGCAGTGACAAGTTTACGTCAGATACAGTAAAGGAAGAAGTGCGGACACACCAAGCACACACATAGGGGAAAATAACTGACTTGGGCAATTCGGATTGGGGGATGATGATTCACTTTGTTGAGTGTTTCCAAAAACATCGTCCTGATCTCGGTGGATTTGGAATAAAAAGGGCTCACGTCGGGCCACCATGGAAGCCGAGGCTGTAACACACACGCACACACACATGATGAGTGTTAAAGTGAATGCGGTGGATCAAAATAAGAGAAATGGGAGCATTGAGACGATAGCATGAGATGAGGGGAAATGAATAACCTAGCAAGTGGCGTTTGTAAACGTGAGCCTATTTGATGAGAGTAAAAATATAGAAAATCACGAACGCCTAATGAGATGGAAAACATTCGACAAACCGGGGAGGAACAAATCGCGCGGGTAAACCGACCAAATTGATATTAAAGCGATGACAAAAGTAATCACAGTAGTGACAAGGATAAAGATGGACCGAGACCAGGCATACGAATGTGGGTAGCCATGAGCATGAACATCTGCGAGGTGTAATGATCTTTAGCCCCGTCGTGGCACCCATGAAATGACCGACAAGATATATATCATCGCCTCAAAGACAAGCCCAGGCACACATCTCAGCGCGGATTTTACCATATAAACATAATTGCTTCCAGGGAGGATACAGTGTGTTTCCGCTAGGTTGTGATGATTCGTGGAGCATAAAGTGCTCATGGATGCTGAATGGAGTCCAGCCATTCTCGTGCAACTTGAAAGGAAGAAGGTCGCGGATGAAAGCGCATCGCAAGACAAACCGAACCGTCCGCCTGCGAAACGATAAAGGATGCCTGATAAGCGTAATGAGGTGACCCGGAAATCGTTGCGGCTACTTTGGATGAACGGCCAGTCACAGGGACAGCACAATTGAGGCAAACGCTCTGCATCGCAGCTACCCTAAGAGAATATGTGATTGTACTCTTTAGTTTTTGTTCCAGCGAGCAATTACAGAAGGTTGAACACTGCGAAGTCAACATAACAACTGTCATCACAACCGATAGGTGAAAGTAACATAGGACACAGGTTAGTTAGCAGTTGGTAGAACGTGAGCACTTCATGGATGGTGGATTAAAGCAAACCATCTTAGCGTGAAAAGTCCGGCGCACGAGACAACGAATCGCAAGCGCGTGATTACATCCGACTGCGAGAGATTTACCCATATTGATAGGTGCATCTGCATAGCAGGTGATCACCATTCAGACCATTTACTGAGGTAGTTAAACAACTGAAACAGTGTCATGCATCCAGAAAGTCCATCAATAAAAGGTGCGTAGAACCGCAGTACGATCGGTGTTACCGTATGTATCGAAAAACTGGTCACCCAAAACGAAAAAACAAAAAATGACTGTGCTTTGAGAGTATTGTCCATATCTGGTGAAGACGCTGAGCCGGTAACACTGAGGTTGACTTGTTGAAGTTTGAGATGAGATCTTCCGGTGCTTCACTGGATTATCTGGTAAACATTGTACGGCGGTTTCATCCTTTCGGGTATCGTCAGCAGTGCGCATTCCATCTGATCACTGTGCGATTCGAACCCGCAACTCGACTGCTGCAGTCTGCGGTTCAGACCACTGGACTACGGGGGAGGGTAACGACCGTCGTGACTAAGTTATTAGATGTAATATAGTGCTGCTCACTATCTCCTGATTTGCACGTTACTACTGTTCAGAAAGAGTAGCCGCCCCCGTAGTAAAATTAAGCCGCCAATTAGCTCATAGCACTAGAGGCAGTTTGGTTTGCGTACGGATTACAAAGGTTTTAGGGCGAGCTGAATGGTATAAGTAGAAATTCATCACATGTAGACCAAATCAGTGGACTCAAACACAGAATGGCAACAGTCGAGTTGAGGGGTTCCAGACTTACAGGGGTCAGATAGATGCGCAATGCTAACGACTCCCGAAAGGATGGAAGAACCATACAGTGCTTTCCAGGCGTGTTTTGGCTGTCTGACATAAGCTAGATGTGATGAATTTCTACTTATGCCATTTAACCCACCATACTACTCCTTTGTTATCTGGTAAAGGTGAACCGCTTACCTTGGTTTGGTAGGAACATCTGTAGGTCTGTTGGCCATCTAAACCGGCGTGAATCATGTGTTATTCATTAACTATGACCGTTCAGATAATTAGAAGCGTAACGTTTGCAAGGAGATTTCTTTCCGGCAATTCACTTCAGGCAAATACAAGTACGTGACTAAGATAAACTTGACAGGCAAGTGAACGCTGGTTGATGTAACTTACTCGATCAATAATCCACTCCAGACAGTCAGACGTCATGACGCGCGCGAAGACGCACATACGCACAAAGCATAGACGCGGTGGCCAGTAGACATACAATGGTCACTCTCAGCCGTAACCACGGCCAAGGCAGCAAGACAGGTTGCATCAGTGTTTCCTGCTTGCGCAAAAATCCGGCTGAAGTATTCTGGTTGTAATGGCTTCAGCGGTGGCCGACAAGCATTTTCTGATTCCTTTGGGGTTGCGACTCGGTAGCGTATAGACCACTTTGAGAGCGTCATCCGTCCGAATCTGATGGCCGGCACTAAGCAGATGTTCGAGGATCAAGCTGCGGACGTTCATAACCGTACCATGTTGCAGGACAGTGTTACCCTATCCGCCTAGATAAACGCCTGGTCGTGTGCTCGAGGTACGTTGCACCACAGGTGCAGGTGAACTGCGTTTGTTGCACCTAATTTGACGGAACTGTGAAATTGCCAGTCAACGAAGTAGCACAAAGTTATGAGGGAATCAGGTGAAGGATTCGACCAGCTGTCTTCGTGGATACGGAGTAAAAGTGAGCCATATCAGCGGTTGAACCCTCCGTTAAACATGGAGAAACTGCGGGGTGAATGACGCTTTTGTGCTCAAACGCTTGCATTTAAATAGTAATTTAAAAAAACAAATGTTTATTCTCGGACGATCGAGGCACGCCACAGTATGGCGAGTTAGATTTAACTAACTATTCCAAAATCCAGTCTCTTTCGCATTCCACTTTGTATTTTGTCTCATTTTTTCAGTGACTAGCAATGATCGGCAGTATGGCTATGTGGGTCATGGTAAGTAGATCCACCGCATCCCAATGCATGTGTCACAGTGAACTGAAATGAACAGTAATGACGAATGAGATTGTAACAGAACGCAACACCCCATCACGGAAATTCCAAAGCGAACTAGAAACCTTCGTCCAGGTATTTGACGATGTACAGGCAGGGCAATTGTTGGTGGCAGGGAGACCGTCAGAAGTGTCAGAGTGGCGATATCACCAGTGCGTGTGTGTAATTTGGGACCGTGCTAACTAGTTTGGGCATCCGGTACGTCCAATGGAGACAGAGTTGAGCCAATGATCACAACAAGCAACTGATGGGAATCAAAGGTGAAAAGCGATAAGCAGTTTGTGTGTAGTGGAAAGCACAGAAACCGCTTAAGGGAGCGAGACACGAATGTGCAGATAACCAAAAGGCGCAACTCACCTGAGTTATGATGCGATAGAGGGCTGAGATCAATACGGTGTGATGAATCGCAGAGGAATTTTGCTGAAGACACACCTTGAGCAGATTTTTGTTGTGCGGAGTGATGCGAAATGAAGCGACAAAGAATTCCGTTAACAATGCTTCTGTTTCCGCGACATTCTGACTGGTTCGAATGAAAGTTTTCGATGGATTGAACAATATATTCTGTTGTAACGGTAAGACAAGTGGGATGCAAAACCAGTGCAATAAGGCAGAAGAACAACACAAAGAGACTCAGAGAAAGCCAAATGTTATGAAACGTACACCAAGCTAGTCAGCTGAGATTTTAACTCGAGGCGAAAGTGTCTAGAACGAGCGATACTGCAGGGCACGTATAAACGTCAAGGGAAACTAAAGACAACGGAGCAAAACTCGTACCGGAAGACAGTACTGAACTCCGACATTCAGCACTGATTCGAAGTGCACGGTGAGATAAGCAAACAGCCGAATTCCAATTGCACAAAACGGCATCAGTTAATACATAACGATGGTGGCAGAGGAGAATAACTATGTATGGAGTGAGCAATTGTATTAAAAGAAACCTTCACCCGGTAAACAATGTGAGCGAAACCGCTGGGCACTCGTAGCTCTTGGGAATAACACTATGCGGGGAAGATGTGGGAAGAAATCATCTAGCAAGTGGGTTGGTGCACAAATTCAACATGAGGCAAATCAGACTGTGTTTGCTAAGCCACGTTACAAAATCTGGTCAGAGGATGTCGGGCAAACACAATGAACGCGCATAGCTGACCGCGAGCAGTGGTCACGGGTCTTGGAGCATCCCTACAATGATGAAAAAGTGGACGAAGAGACAGGAAGCTAGGGCATCAACTGCTCTTGATGCATTCCGTAGAACAGCGCTCCAATTAAACGAGCCGGTCCACTCGATAAACTGCCCTCGAATATTCGACAGTCTCAACCACACATCCACAAGTAACGAAGCCCGGATGCATACGCGATAATGTATGGTTAGGTGAAGATTTTGAGAAATGGTGATATCCCAAGGACCAGTGTTGTATCAAGCAAGCAGGGGAGAGAAATGAAAGGGGAACAATCAGAGGTGGTGGTAAACATGATAGAAGATCACCACTGGTTTCGCAACTGTGCCACCCTGTCTGGTGTGGCAGACCCCGTGGATCCATACAAGAAGGAGGCATGGTTATGCCCGGTTACGTCTCAAGTGTAGTTTCGCTGTAACTTGTCGCCACGCTATCAGTTGAACACTCCGCGATTTCACTCAACCACCCAGACGAGCTAGGGGCGACATGCATAATGAAAAGCGTGCTCTACCCAATGCAGATGACTGTCATTCAAATGGCAAAGTTAGAGAACATATTATCAAGCATCAAATGGTGGAATTCAGAGTGCTCCTAACAAAAAGACGCGGGTGATGCTGAGCAGGCAACAATGGTAAAAGACGATAAGACGATTATCGTGAACAGCATGCAGTGCCCACACCACTCGTCAATGCGGTAATACAGGTCGCACAGCAGAGGGAGACGTTCGGAACTTAAGTAACAGCTTGCTAACCCTTTGCCTCTATAGAGGAATAAAGCTGAAAAGTGACACGGAAAATATTCATAAGCACAAGTAAGCGCCTTAGGGAGTTGACCAACAGAGATCGAACGCTTCTACTAGTTCCTAGTTGATGATAAGATCAGACAACTTATCAGCTCAATCCTGCAGTGGTGCGCTTGAAATTGTGAAGGAGTTGCCGTGTTGCAAGTGGAGAGAGTGCTGACGATTGTATCCCGTAAAAAGGGACAATCACTCTTTAAATAAGAATAAGCCCTCTTCAAACAAGCGATCAGGCGTGTTGTGTAGCTCTCCAAGAGTTAAAACAAGGTTTCATTTATAGAGTGCATGAGTTGGGGGCGCAATTTAGTCGAGACGTCTTTACATGGGGCACTTTCCATGTTCTGCGTTTTCCACAGTCTGTCTGTGTTCATTGTTCCGTACATTCTGCTCGCTTCAATCGACCTCTGCTCCATCGGTGTTGTCTGCCCTGAATCATGCTTGGGCGCGTTTACTGTTCTTTGTCTCCCTGGCCAGCACGTACACTTCATCAGCGAGCGGCTGTTCCAGCCAATTCGCTTCGCCTTTGTTCGTGATAAAGTTGTGCTCTGTTCCATCTAGACTGAGCCAACCCTGATTCCTCTCCCTGGCTCGTCCACGCGCGATCAGTTTGCAGTCGGCGGCGACTGATTGGCTTCTTGCCTGCCTAAAACCCGGCGATCAGCTTCGATCCCACCTCCAGCTATTGCCGCAGCGAGGATGGTATGCAATAGACTATTCGTAAACACAAAATAGGAGATGCCTATAGTTAGTTGTAATGTGATGCATCACGGTCAGCACAGTTGGTCACATGTAAAGTCGGTTAATATTAATGAACAGAAGCACCCGATGAAACAACAATGTATCATCAACCAATAGTTCGTATGCGAGACAGTGTCGGCCAGTTTTCGGAGCCAAAAGCTGGAAACACAGATGCACCTATAACAGGCAGTGTAACTCATCGCAGCACCAGCAACAGCCTAGCGCCAAATAAACATCACACGTGGACGGAGGAAGAACGCGCAAGGAGATCGTAGATGAATACGCAACGGTATAAGCAGATCAATCAACAACGGCGCGGTGTGTTGTCCCATTGGCCTCAAGCCGTCAGCTGTAGGTGTCCGTGAATGGGACATCATCATCATCATCATCATACACGTTAGCTGGAGGTGGGGAACACCTCAGCTACTGTGCCGCAATACATAGAAAAATGGAGAGAAAAAAGCAACTGGTGAAAGCTGGCTGAGCTACCGGTAACGGATGGGCATCGTTCCGGTAAGCTACCAGCCGGCTGCTGTGCACCCAAAAAAATTATTATGCAAAATTATATAAGGCTAAGTAATGAGATCGCGGTTGGAGGGGGAGGCTAAGACGGATGGGCTGGGACAAAGAAACTCACAGCACGAACGCCACTGAGGTCGGCTCCTAGCCATATCAGCAAGTGTGTCCAACCAAACGTGTTCATCGTCTTTCGGACCCCAACCAGGGAGCCGAGACGCTCCAACCGAGGCCAGCTCAGAAGTGAGGGTCTTCATTCCTCTGGGCCAAGTCATCGCTTGGCCACCCCTCCTCTTCTTCCATCCACACCCCCGGCGAGCAAACAACACACGTCGCGGAAGTCGGTGGGCTGGTATGCGTAACACGTGGCCGAGCCATCGGAGCCTGATGCGTGAAATAACGGTGCTGAGCGGTTCAGTTCCTTTTCCTGTGCCAAAAACAAGGCGTCGAACACGCTCGTTGCTCACGCGGTGTTCCCACCAAATGTGAGCTAAATTACGAAGGCACCGGTGGTCGAACGTAACTAGCCTCTTCAGGTCCGCTGCTTTAAGCGGCCAGGTTTCACAACCGTACAAAAGGGTCGAACGTACTGCTGCATTGTACACTCTACCCTTCAGGGCAAGAGTGATGTCGCGCCGGCGCCATAAGTGCCGAAGGTTAGCAAAAGCGCCCCGAGCTTTTGCTATACGATTCGTGATCTCATCTTCAATCCCACGGGCGCTGATACAACTTCCCAGGTAGTTGAATTTTTGAACGACTTCTAGCTGATCCCCACCAAGGGTCAGTGCAGGAGGCGGTCCAGACCAATCTTGGAGAAACGCTTTGCACTTCGAGGATGCGAAGCAAAGCCCGAAGTGACGGACAGCTAGTGCTAATCTGTCCAGTGCCGCTTGACACGTTTGTGAGCTGTCACAGATGAGGGCAATATCATCAGCATACTCTAAGTCAAGAAGTCTTTCTCCTGAGAGCAGATCCACACCTAAGTCGTGCCCTGTAAACGCGATTTCCATGACTTCGTCAACAGCGAAGTTGAAGAGGAAAGGTGACAGCGGGCATCCTTGTCTCACGCCGCTGGAGATATTAAAGGGCGACGACAACTTGCCGTAAGCCCTCACTCTGCCCGAGCTACGCGCATATAATGCTCGGATAATATTCACATTTTGCTCAGGTACACCTTTCCTGAGTAGACAGTCCCAAAGTGCATGTCTATCCACCGAATCGAATGCACCTTTGATATCGAGGAACACGACAACGGTGGGCCGCCAATATATGTGACGGTGCTCCAACAACTGACGCAAGGTGAAGATGTGGTCAATGCAGTTACGACCTCGAGGAAATCCAGCTTGCTCTTCACGAATCTGGCTTTCACGAGTGCCAGTCAGTCTGTGAAGGAAGACAGAGGCAAGCAATTTGGAGGCGATGGAGATCAGACTGATTCCTCTATGGCTGCCGCATTCCGATCGTGAGCCTCCTTTGAAAATTGGAACTATGATGGAGCGGCTTCAATCGGTTGGGACAGTCTCCTGCTCCCACAGTCTCACTAGTAACTCGTGTAAATCATCCACAAGAGCAGGTCCCCTGAATTTGAAGAGGGCTGGAGGAAGGTCATCAGGTCCCGCGGCTTTATTTAACTTCAACAGTTTGATCTCATGTTCGACTTCTGAGCGAGAGGGTGGATCCAAAGGAACAGCCCACGGAGCGGGGCGATCACTGGTCGGCGAGAAATCTAACAATTCCGACCGATTAAATTGCCTTTCAAAGTGCTCAGCCCAAAGTTCCAGGCGTTTCGATAAGTTGTGGATAGGCTGTCCACTCTCGTCACTTATACTTTCACTAACACCAGGTCTCCTGCTGCCCGTTTCCCGTAGCAGACGGAATAACTTACGATGGTTACCAAGGGCAGCGGCCATTTCCATCTCTGTTGCACGACGAGACCACCAGGATTCGCGGTCTCTCTTCAGGCTAGCACGGAGTTTTGCCCGGAGCTCTTTGCGAGTTTCATTGTGTTCGCTTCCAGCCGGAATATGCCGGCGAGCATCGATAAGTTCTAGAGACTGCGAAGAGACCGAATAACCATGTTGGCTATTCGACATACCACATGAGGATTTGCCTGCTGCTAGTAAGGCCTGTTGCATATGAGACCAGTGAGCTTCAATTGCATCCAGTGAGCGTTTATCCAACTCGCATGACAGCGTACTTTGATAGGCATTCAGAACAGCTGGATTCACCAGTCTGCCGGTGTCAATGCGCTCACAACATCGTCGCGGGCGTCCGCCAAAGCGCATCCGCAGATCAGCGCATACAAGTGCATGGTCGGTTTCCACGCATGTGCTCCAAATCGAGCGACAGTTCTGGACGCAGCCTCTCCATCGGTAACTGATAGCAATGTGATCGATCTGCGTCCATAGCTGGTGGGCGCCAAGTCACCCTGCGGCGGGTGCTGTGTCGGAAATTAGTGCTCGCAAGAAATAAGCGAGCATCCTCACACAAATGAAGTAACCGCTCACCGTTATCAGTACGGGAGCCTATACCATGTTGGCCGCCCAGAGGTAGCTCATCTGTGGATAATTTTCCAACTTGAGCGTTCATATCCCCCGCCAGCACTACAGTGTCCGAGCTTCTTCTGTGGCGAAGGAGTTCGTTCAGTTGGCGATAGAAGTCGTCTTTTACCGAGTCATCGCTACAGTTTGCCGGTGCATAGGCAGCGATAACGAATAGACACCTGTTAGTCCCACGCGACTTCGAAGCTTTGAACGAGCCAGCCAATCGGACCGCACACATCCAGCTACTGATTGGGATCCAATCAATCAGAGCAGCTTCAGCCCGGGGACTCAGGGCAATACCAACACCGGCTTGGCCGGTGCTCGAAGCTGCATCGTCACCAGATAGGCGCAATGAGAAAGTGCTGCTAGTGTCACTTGAAGGGGATCGCAGAGTGAGTACAGAGCTCGAGTCTTGCAGGCGGATCTCAGATAAGCAGCAGATATAGATCGAGAGGGTCTCTAATGTTCGGGCAAGTGCTGCCTGTTGACCGATCTGAAGCAATGTGTGAACATTGAGGCATGCCAGTCTGAAGGATGATCGAGGGCTCCAAATGGAAGCCGATGAACTGGGTTTGGCCGTTTGGTTGGACATGGGCCTGTTGACAGTGCAGGAATGACGCTCTGCGTTCACCTGTGAGTTGAAACTAAAATGCAAGCGACTATTGAAGCAAGGTGGGGGAGGGCCGAGAATTGGGGGGTTGAAAACAGGGGGGATAAAAGTAAAGCTGGAACGGGACGATAAGGGTGAAAAAGCGCAAGAAGGAGAATAAGAAGATGGGAAGGCTTGAACGGTAGCATCCAAACCCCTATCCACCCTGCTCGATGCAGCAGATAGGGCACCGTTGATTATCCTCTGCGGTGGCCAGAGCATCAGAAATTTGTTTGGTGAAGGATTCATTGTATTGGGACAATGTCGACAAGAGAGCCGTCGCGAATGGAGATCCAGGAGGGAAGGGAAGCCCAGTTCAAGCCACCAAACAGGCTGTTAGGACATTATACGTTCAGCTAGGACACAGGTGTAAAAGATGGAAGAGAAATAATCACACGCTTAGCGCTGATGTCTTGGGGAACAAAAATGATGACTCACCTGCAGATCGGCGTAAACGGAATGCACGAAGATGAAAAAGATATTGTCACGATCGTTTATGTTGATGTAAGTGGAGGCTTTGCACAAATTGACCGCGGCAAGCAAAGCGGCTTCAGTCAGCGTTGGCTTTGAGCTGCCTACACTGTGGCCGTGGCACGCCAGAGCCTTGCGCACCTAGAGTGGATTGAAAAGGAGCCATTAAGGTAGGTAGTTTTCAATCGAGTTTGCGCTCGCAAGACGGTAGAGATGTAACCCCAGTGTTTAAAGAATGAAGAGAAAATTTGAAAGTATTGGTGCGAAACAACGGTGTTGGACAGAGTGTGAAATTTTGAGGATGTAGCTTGTGAACTACTGAGATGAATACCTCAAAATTACAACTAAAATCCTGCTACTTAAGAGTATGAAATTGCCAAAAAGAAAAGCAGGTTTGGCCAACATCGAACATGCTGCAGTGACTGAGGATGTGCCAGCATCTCTAAAGCTGCATTTACCGGATTAGTCAATAATCTTATGGAAGAAACGCAGCACACTGACTCCCGACGTAGAAAGCTGGAACGGAGCTCAACAAAATGGCCGAAGTATTGAAAATGGGGTATCAGCCTCGATCTCCTAATAGTGTAAAACATAAAAATTGAGGACAGCAGAAAAGATAAGCATAAGCAGTACGCCGGTACGCAGTACCGACGCTTTCCTCCGTGCAATCACCATCGGTCGCACGTGCGCTAATGACACTGCAAGGGTCGCCCTCCTCTTACGCAGGCCCGAAGCCGCGCCGTCAGATTATAAAACAAGCTCGTTACCTTTGGGGAGTTCAGTAAAATCAAGAACAATATGGGTTTCACACCGAGGATTATGGTTTCTAATATATGAAGTGAACAATGCCAACTGAAGAGGGACCAATCCCAAACGTTATAAAACTAGATTGGCTAGCAAGCGCAAAATAAAAAACAACCACTCAACAGGTAAAGTATCATGGAAGCAGGGAAATGGAATTAGTGAACGAGCGTAACAAAATGTTTCCAGACACCGCACTAATGGCCACAAAGAGCGTGCACCAAGCATAGGGGGTGCATGCGCGCCAATGAAGGAGGAGGATAGGTGAGGACAAGTGAACTGAGAAAAGTGCTTCATAAACAGCTGAATATTGGGTGTTGCCTGCCCGAAAACACTGCACTCTACGACTAGAGACAGCAAGCATCGAACTCGGGGTCATTGGGATGCTAGTTGGATAGTTCAATCAGACGATCACTTTCACGGCACTGTGAGTGTAAGAGTGCCCAGTCAAAATGTACACATGGAATCCGATGCTAATTGGACTAGAATGTGGAACCCCAGAGCCCGAAGCGATGACAATTGCAAATTCCACCTTGAGGGAGATGACTCATCTGGCTGATTGTGTCTGGTAAAAAGTATTCTGCAAGTGGACGCAATCCAAACAAAACATCAACCGGAGGGAAAACAAATTGGGGAATAGTCTAGCATTAGTCAACGTGAAGCCGATTAGCATTGCCATTTTCAGAGAAAGGAATGAGATGAGAAAAAGTTTGTGCTGTACCTCACATTGCTTACTACTGGTGTGTACACACAAAATGCACAGACTATGAAGATATTTGAAGATTTCAGAAGCCCGTTCTAGCTACTCGATCAACAGGTCTTCTATAGGTCCTTATGGACATGGGACATGACCACCAGAGAATACCGAGAGAATAGCCGCTAGGCTTCCATAAGCATTGTAATTTCCATCGACTACTGATGAACAGTGGATGGGTGAAGTAAAATGGTGATAGTTATGCGGAGGTCAGTGTGGTGGCCACTATGCAAAAGAGAGGAGCACTCGATCGGCAGGGTCCGCAATGCCGAAAAAAAACAGCGTTGTCGCAAACCAGATGGTGAAGATGATTGAGGAGGGGAGACAGAAAAATACATGGCGAATGTAGTACGACAAAAGATAGTTACTTTGGGTGAGTAGTGCACAAACTGCTACACGGATACCGATAGGAGTAACATGCAGTGGAAACAAGTGAAGCGATGACAAGGCATAAAGGGAAGATGAGTCACATTGGAGTTTCAACCATCTTACTTCATCCATAAACTGTTTTTTCTTCTGGTGTTGCGGTGACAGCGGAGCTCCATTGTCAGCATTGATGATCTCCTCCAGAATTTTTGGACAAAGCAGCAGTAACATCATTTGCAACGGCCAAACAAGCAGCTTTTTTCGGCCACTTTCGGCACAGAGTGAAAAGAAGTAGAAGAGCCGATCGCAACATTCTGTAAAGAAGTGTGTATGCATAAATAAGACGCAAATGTTAGCATAACAGTAACAAAGCATTTCGTAGCGAGGTCATCATACACACCATTTCAAACATGAAGTAAGAACCGACCCTGGCGGTGGCAAACTGACAGCACATCGTAAAAAGGAACAAGAATTTCGAATACCGTTAAGCCACAAAGAGGAGAAATTTCGTGAAAAATCCTGCCGACTTGAAATTTCGAGAATAACCACCAATATTAAATGCAGATTAATATGAAAAACTTTCGGTGCAACAAAAGAGAGACAAACTCATTCGCTGCATTTTCTCAGTAATCATCAACATCAACAAACTACATTAGCTGAAACACACCACATCAATGAGCCGCAATGCAAAATGATAAAATACTAAAAAGTTACTCTACAAAGAATTCAAAAAGCAAGCAATATAATGTTAAATATTATATTAAGCATTTCACATGAGATCGTGATTGGAGGAGGAGGATAAGCTGGAGGGGGATGGACAAAGGAACGTACAACACAAACGCCATTATGCCCGGCTCCTCGCCATATCAGCAAGTGTGACCAACCAAACGTGTTCATCGTCCTTAGGTCCCCAGCCAGGCAGTCAGAATGCACCAACAAACACTAACCTCGAAGTGAGGATTGTCATTTCTCTCGACCAAGTCATCGCTTGGCCTCCCCTCCTCCTCCTTAATCTATACAACGGGCAGACAAACAACGCATGACGCGGGGGTCGGTGTGATAGCATGCGCAACACGTGGCCCAACCATCGGAGCATGGTGCGTGATATAGTAGTGGTGTTGAGCGGTTCACTCGCTTTTTCTGCACCAAATACGCGACGCCGAACACGCTCATTGCTCACGCGGTGTTCCCACCAGACATGAGATAAGCTGCGAACGTCACTAGCTACTTGATGTTTGTCCACCTGATGGGCCATGTTTCACAACCGTATAAAAGGGTTGAACGGACGGCTGCATTATAAACTCTGCCCTTCAGGGCGAGAGTGATGTCGCGTATGCGCCACAGGTGTCGGAGATTGGCAAAAGCACCTCGAACTTTTGCTATACGGTTCGTAACCTTTTCTTCTATTCCACGGGCGCTAATATAGCCGCTCAGGTACTTCAATTCCTGAATGACTTCGAGCAGATCGCCACCAAGGGTCAGTGCAGGAGTGAGTCCCTGCCAATCTTGGAGGACTTTGCATTTTGAGGGAGAAAAAGCATAGACCAAAATGATTGACAGCCAGTGCTAATTGGTCCAGTGCCACTTGGCACGTTTGGGAGCTGTAATGGATTAGGGCAATGTCATCCGCATACTCCATGTTCAGAAGTCGCTCTCCAGCAAGTAGCTCCACACCTCCTAGATCGCGTCCAGCGAACTCTACTTCCATGACATCGTCAATGGCGAAGTGACAGCGGACAACGTTGTCTCACAGCGCTGGAGATATTGAAGGGTGGTGACAGATTGACATAAACCCTCACTCTGCTCGAACTATGCGCATAGAGCGCTTTTGTAATTTTTTCGTATTTACTGGTGTTACTTTCTCCCCCTTTCTCTGTCAATGGCAACCTTTGTACTGCTGCTTTGCTACCCTGTGAGACTGCGACTGTCTGACTGCTCATTCACGCGCCCAGCCAACCGAAGGAATACAAAAAGGCCAGAACTCGGTAGACAGAGAGTGTATTTATGTACAGGATAGGTTAACAATACTGAATACTGTATTATAGAGCAAGTAGAAATGGATTCTGTACAACTCTTTCGAGATATGGCGAAAAACGTTATAAAAGTTGTCAACCTTGAATATCATTGTCGTTCTCATGTAATATTTAAAATATTCGACTTACGATATTTCAGGATTCACAAATGTGATGTCATCGTAAGTGTGCAGTCGTTCTCTGAATCGAATAGAGGCAAAATGCAAATCTAACAACGTTTTGAACTGTTGCACCGATGTTGCCTCAATGACATGTTCGGGCAAACTATTCCAAATGTTTACCACTCTCCGTTCGAAGCACAGTGGGTGGGGAACACGTTTCATATCCGGCACAACAAGTTTGTATCTGTGTCCGCGTGTGCTGCATGGCCCTCGTAAGTGCAGCATTGGCCTTAACATGGGGAACTCACCGAGATGTAGAATTCGGTAGGTCATAATGAGGTCGACTCGCACCCGACGGTAGGACAAGGTGTAGAGTCCTAGTTTCTCGCACCGGTCTTCATACCCAAAGCCACGTAAACTCGGGATGAGCCTGGTAGCAACGTGTTGGACCCGTTCGATCTTTTGTGCCTCGCTTCGGGTAATCGGAAAGTAGGCGGGCGAACCGTACTCTAGCATTGGTCTAATGATAGAAGAGAACAGGCGAGTGGCAACCTCTTCAGACCATGTGCAGAAGCTACGTTAAAGCGCCCAAAGCATGCGCAGTCCGTTCCGATATAGCCTGTTCGTGTTGTCCACGGACTTCAAATCGTAGCGTGAGAGTACACCTAGGTCCTTCACGGAGGGTGTGGGATATAGCGTTTGGCCGTCAAGGGTGTAGGTTCGGCCGTCTGCACCCTTCCCCAGGCTCATAAATACCGACTTGGCTGGGTTGACCGGGAGAAGAACTTCTGCAGACCATGTGGATAAGCGGTTGAGATCTTGCTGAAGTAGGCCACAGTCATCGGGAGCGTCGATTTCTCTCCAAATCTTCATGTCGTCCGCAAACAAGGCACACAGCGACCGGAGAAGCTGCGGTAGATCGTTGATGTGGATCAGGAACAGAGTGGGGCCCAGCACAGTGCCTTGAGGCACGCCACTTGTAGAGGGGTACCAGTCAGTTAGATGGTAGTCGACCTGTACCCTCCACTTTTGTCCAACAAGAAAGTCGCGGATCCACCGGTGCAGTGAGCCACCGACGCCACACATGTTGAGTTTGTGAAGGAGAACCTCATGACTGACCTTGTCGAACGCTATACTGAAATCGATGAATATCACGTCGACGGACTTCCCCTTGTTTATTGCCTTCAACCACTCATGCCTCGTCACAAGCAGGTTAGTAATGCATGAGCGACCTTGCATAAAACCGTGCTGTGCGGGCGTCAGGACCTCGTTTGACTGTAGCTACTGCAGCAATCTCTTCTTCACGATTTTCTCAACAAGCTTTGCCAATATAGGTGTCAGACAAATTGGCCTGTAATTGTCTACTTTGCTAGGGTCGCCGCCTTTCGGAACAGGCTTCACCACTGCACATTTCCAGTCAACCGGCAACAAACCTTCGGAGAGCGACCTGTTGAAAAGGTCAGTCACGACAGGAGAGAGGATGGTTGAAAGTGACTTGAGAACCAGTGGGTGAAGCCCATCAGGTCCGGCAGGTTTGGTGCCGTCAAGGTTGGCGAGTAGTTGAGCTAACTCTTCGACGCCACAATGCAGACTTTCGAGTTCGGTAAAAGCGGTACACGTCGAATTTGGAACAGACACCTGGTTATTCGCAAATACAGAAGCGAAGTGCGCCGCCAACAAGGACGCACGCTCAGAGCTGGAGGTTAGGGGCTGTCCATCCGTGTCATCCAGCACTAGCACATCACCCGCCGGCTTCAGGCGTCGCTTCACGTATGCAAAGATTCTCTTGGGGGCGGTCTTCGCGGCTAATGCGAGCTGCTCTTCAAAGTGTCGGCGTTTATTCTTTTTTGCACTGTTGCAGAGATTCCGCTGACATTTATACCCTTCGTAATTATTGGCAGAGCCAGAGAGAAGGAATTTGTCCCACAGTCTGCGTCGCCTCCGAGCCAGGTTTCTATACTCCTTGTCAAACCAATGAGGCTTAATCGGTCCAACCTTTCGACATTTCAATGGCACAAATTTGGAACACAATGATGTTAATCTCTCTTTTATAAATATCCAACAATCTTCCACAGATGCAGCTTGTGACAGAGACCAATCCAGTTGGCTCGCGGCTCGAGCAAGACCATCGAAGTCCGTTTTCCAGTAGTTGGGAGATGGTTGCAGCGGATGTGAATACGGCAAAGATAATTCCATATCAGCTATCAGTACTGAGTGGTCGCTCGTAGCCAGGGGCTCCAGGATCCTAACTTCACGCACTCGTTGTTCGTAGCTCGTTAACATCAGGTCGAGACAGGACGAGGTTGAACGTGCTGATATGCGTGTTGGCTGGCATATGTGTTGCGATGCGCCAGTTTCAAGTACCAAAGCCACGAGCTTTGCTTCAACCTCACTATGTCCAGGCATCAAATGCACATCAGGCCATCGTATTCGAGGACAGTTAAAATCGCCCATAAGCAGAAAGTGTGGACGACTCATGTGGGTCCGAAGATGGGGCAGCCAATCCAAACAACGACTCAGGGGACTGTGATAAACTGCGCCCACAAGCAGTTCTCCGCGCCTGAGGCGGATGGAGCACCACAGTAGCTCACACAGGCCATCGTCACTTCGGTAGGTGCTCACAAGTCTCCCACGCAGGGAAGACCGGATGTAAAGTAAGACACCACCGTGGGCATTCTTTAGTCTATCGCATCGGAAACACGAGTAACCGTTGAGTTCAAGTTCTTGGGTGTATAACTCTGCATGCAGCCATGTTTGTGCGAGTCCCACTACGTCTGGCCGCTCAGACGCAACGAAACAACAAAGCTCATCGCGCTTATTCATAATACTGCGAACGTTTGTGAAGGCTACTCGCAGGCCGCAGCAGGAGCCACCGGGCGTGCTTGAAGTGTGAGCAGCCTGTTTATCCTGATTCGCGGATTGTTGGAAACCACCCGAAAATTTAAGATACGAAGATTTGTTTCCCCCTCACTAGTGCGTCTTTTCAACTCAATGATGGCAGACTTGAGCCGCTCCCTGTCTACTGGGTCCAGGTCGGGACGAACATGGATCTTCAAACCTTTCAGCCTACTTAGGCGAGACATGATAATTCTTGGAC